TAAAACACATAAAAGCTGACTGCAAATACTACAACAATACCTTAATAATAATTCTTATCATAGAAATCTGAATATTCATATTACATAATCAACTTATCAACAGGACATGTTTGAAGGGGTTAAGATAACCTTTTTAAAGCATTCATATAACATTAACAACGATCATTATTTATCAGTATTACTTATAGAAAGCAAAAATAACAAAGGTTACAAACTCAATCCCTAAAAATCTGAACCATTGGGGAATCAGCTGATGACCCCACAGACAGGATCCCACTGATGTTTCCCAAATGCTCTGTCTTCAGAGATATTTTGGATAATTGAATCATTACTAATACTTTTATCTTTACATGGTTGTTTCCCTCCTTGGGAAACACTTTTCACAATAGAAGATTTCCATGTGTATCATATTTGGAATAACATTGGTTTGCATAGTGTTCCTTTTTTCTGCCTCTTGGGCAAAGGCCTGGTGCTTTCTCACTTTTCTCTGATTCTGGACAGTTCTTTTTCACTCGTCCATATCTTCTGCATCTGAAGCATGGTGCTCTGGCAAATGCTGTTGCCATCACTTCTGTGGAACCGGCCTGTTGAAGAGCAGGGCGAAGTGCCTCACGTAACACCTGCTACACTTGTGAAAAACCTCCAGCTTGAGATTTTGGCTGTGGCTGGCTGTGTGCTGTGTGCTGTGAGCTGTGTGCTGTGTGCTGAGAGCTGTGTGCTGTGAGCTGTGTGCTGGCTGTGGGCTGTGTGCTGGCTGTGTTCTGGCTGTATGCTGTGTGCTGTGTGCTGTGTTCTGTGTGCTGGCTGTGAGCTGTGTGCTGTGTGCTGTGTGCTGTGTTCTGTGTGCTGTGAGCTGTGTGCTGTGAGCTGTGTTCTGTGTGCTGGCTGTGTTCTGTGTGCTGTGTGCTGTGTGTTCTGGCTGTCTGCTCGCTGTGTGCCGGCCGTGGCTGGCTGTGTGCTGGCTGTGTGCTCGCTGTGTGCCGGCCGTGGCTCGCTGTGCCCGCTGTGACACGGCGCTGCCCTCAGGAACGTCTCCGCCCGCTCCGGCGCAGCCGCGCTTTCGGAAACGCTCCCTTCCTCCCCGCGATGGCCACTCGCGCTGTCCCGACCCCACTCCCGGTCCGGTGCCTCCGCCCCGCTCTGATCCCCGCCGGGACTCGCCCCGCTGGCTCCTGCCGAGCCCCGCACCCGCGGGGCCCGACTCCCGCCCGGCCGGGCCCGGCCGCGTCCGCGCCGCGGGACAATCCCCGCGCTCCGCCTGCCGGGTTTGCGTCATCAGCGCGCGTCCGTCGCGTTCCGCCGCCGCCGCCGCCACCCCGCGCTGCGCTCCGCGCGCCCCGGTCTCGCTCGGCACCGCGCTCGCAGCCGCCGAGCATCCCCCGAGGGCCGAGCATCCCCCGGCACTGCGATCCCCCCGGCTGCTGTCCCCTGGCACTGTGATCCCCCGAGGGCCGAGCATCCCCTGGCTCTGTCATCCCCCGAGGGCTGCTGCCCGCCCGGCTCTGCGCTCCCCCGGGACAGCTGCTGCTGCCCGCCTGGCACTTCCTCGGCGTGGCTCCTGCTCGGAACCCACAATTTCCTCTTCCCCCCGCCCCGATAGTCCCGCCGTGGCCTCCGCGGTGAGGTTTCGCATCGGTCTCTGCCATTTTGGGGAACACGCCTCAAAAAAGGCAAAGTATCTTGGAAAAATAGTTAATTTGAGCTTTCCCGGGAGCGGCAGAGGTGTGCCTGGAGACCCTGAGGGTGGTGACGATTCCCCCCGCACCTTTTTCTGTTCCTCCTGATTTGACAGGAGTATCCCCCGCCTGCGGATGCCAAGGCGGTTCCCCTCTCCCCTGACTGCTGGCAGTCATTTCTGCTGGCCGCCGGTGGCAGGCAGCCCCTGCGGCATTCCGCGAAATTGCCTCCAGCATTACTCTCGCTGGAGCTAAAAGTTTCAAGGCCATTTTATCTTCCTTTGTTGTTAAATGATAAAGGTGTCTGTTAATGTCTTTGCCAAAACCCTGGCTCAAATAACAAACGGGATTCTGAGTGCGGGTAATTACAGCACACCCATAGCAAAAGAGCCCTGAGCTCCTCCTCAGGAATTTCCACGGGATAAGTGGCTGTCACGGACAAGATGCTAAATTGTTCCTGGGAATAAGCTCCCCCCATGTTCTTAATTTTGACCTGTCTTACCAAAAGCTGCATCGTCTGCAAAATCGATCCAGAGGTTTTCCCGGTCACTGGCCAGCAGATCCCAGGTGGGGAACTCCCAGGCACCTTGGGTTTTCCTCCTTTCCAGGTCGAGTTTGAAGCGACTTGTCTCTGCAGAGGTCAGGGTGTCTGCTCTGGAATTCTTCTCTGTCGTGTGCCTTTTTCGGGCTGGGATTCAATGTCTGATGTTCAGTGGTCTGAGCTCGCAAGCCCAGGCCCACCCAGGGAACGCCAGGTCTTGGGTTTCTGGGGTCCAGATGACCCGGAGGTGTTAGAAAGTCTCTTTTTTCCCAACCCCGCAACCAAAGAAGAAGCCGAGATGTGTCGGTTCTGCTTTTCAAGGTTGTTTAATTTTCCTTATCTGTAACATTTTTTCTCTGACCTGCTGAGGTCTGTCTAGCAGGTCGGTTCGTGGCACACTGACCGCCCTTGGGGTGGTGTTAACATTTTATACTAACAACTACGTGTACTTTATTTACAATAATTTTCCAATACCTATCACCTATGTTTGGGGGACCCCAGCAGTGGCAGCACTGGCAGGGACTGGTTTATACTGGGGCAACTGGGAATGACTGGGAATGACTGTGAGCAAACAAAGGGCAACTGGCATATACTGGGAGTCTCTGTGACCTTACTGGGGGGACTGGAACCACACTGGGAACAATGGGGACCATGCTGGGGACAACTGGGACCATGCTGGGGACAACTGGGATCACAGTGGGAGCAGCTAGGCCTATGCAGGGAGTGACTGGCATCATGCTGGATCATACTGGCAGCAACTGGGACTGCACTCAAGGTGACTGGGAGTGGCTGTGAGCAGCTGGGATCAGGCTGGAAGCAACTCAGGGCAACTGGGAGTGACTGGGAACATGCTGGGAGCAACTGGGACACACTGGGAGACACTGAAACCACAGTGGGAGCAACTGGAACCACACTGGATGATAATGGGAACAGCCATGCCCATTCTGGTGTCATCCTGGGATCCTGCAGGAACTGGCTGGCATCGTACTAGGAGTGACTGGAAAGGTGCTGGCTGTGACTGGAACCATACTGGAAGCAACTGGGAGCAACTGGGCCCACACTGGGAGTGACAGGGAGTCACTCTGAGCATGACTGGAATCATACTGGGAGTATCTGGGACTGACTGGGGTCATACTGGGAGTGACTACTCGTCTTGCTGGGGTCATTCTGGGAGCCACTGGGAACACACTTTGGGCAACTGACAGAAACTGGGATCATGCTGGAGGTAACTGGGAAAGACGGGGATCATTCTGAGCTAATGAGAACTGTACTAGGCCAGCTGGGATATACTGGGAGTGTCTGTGACCATACTGGGGGGACTGGAACTACACTGGGACAGCTGGCACCACGCTGGGGGCAACTGGGAGTGAGTGGGACCATGCTGAGAGGGACTGGGACTATTCTAGGGGCAACTGGGATCATACTGGGAGGAACTGAGAACAGCTGGAACTATACTGGAGGCAACTGGGATCATACTGGGATCAGTGGGAGCAGCTGGGTCCATGCTGGGTTACACTGGGATCAGACTGAGGGTGATTGGAATCATACTGAGATTGATTGGGAGTGGCTGTGAGCAACTGGAATCATGCTGAAAGCACGAGGGAGGAAGTGGGAGTGACTGGGAGCATGCTGGGGGTGACTGGGATGTACTGGGAGAGACTGGGAGTCACAGGGATCATACTGGAGGCTACTGGGGTCATGCTGGCATTGACAGGGAGCAACTGAGATCACACTGGGGGCCACTGGCGTCATACTGGGAGTGACTGGGAGGGAGTGGAGTTAGACCGCAAGTGACTGGGATCATACTGGGAGTCACTGGGATCATACCGGGAGTCACTGGGATCATACCAGGAGTGACTGGGACCATACCGGGAGTCACTGGGATCATACCAGGAGTGACTGGGATCATACCAGGAGTGACTGGGATCATACCGGGAGTCACTGGGATCATACCGGGAGCAGCTACAATCGTACTGGGATCGTAGTGGGTGTGACTGGTCCCTGACTGGGGGTACTGGGAGCTACCAGGCACATGCTGGGAACCGACTGGCACCCACTGGGAGGAACTGGGCGCAGTTGGGAGTGACAGGAGGTGAGCAGCAGCTGCAGCTCCGCGGCTCGGCTCCGCCTGGCCCCGCTCCTTGTGCCGGCTCTGGCCGTGCCGAGATCCCGGCTCGGCCCCGCTCCTTGTGCCGGCTCTGGCCGTGCCGAGATCCCGGCTCGGCCCCGCTCCTTGTGCCGGCTCTGGCCGTGCCGAGATCCCGGCTCGGCTCCGCCCGGCCCCGCTCGCTGCGGCGGCGCTGGAAGGGGATCGCATCCGGGATCCACGGACTCCAACTGGGGGAACGCCGGGCCGCAGGGACAGGAGAACTGGGGGGACACGGAGATTTGGGGGCTGGGGGCTCACAGGGCAAGGGAAGGGGGAACGGCAGAGCTGGGAACAGGGTTTGGGGGCTCCAGGATTGAGAAAAGGGGAGGCTGGGGTGGCCAGAGGTGGGACGGGCTGGGTTAAGGGGGTTCCCGTGTCCAGGAAAGGGAGCTCCAAGGCTCCCCGGTGTCCCCATTCCCAGCAAAAGGTGGGAAACCCCGGGACGGCTGGGAACAGGGGTCCCGAGTGTCTTCAGTGTTGAGGAGAGGAGGGGCTGGGGGCTGGGAAAGGCAGGAATAGGGGCCATGGGGGGCTCGGGGTGAAGAAGGGGCCTCTGGGGGCTGGGAGAGGCGGGATGGCCGGGAAGGGGGTGCGGGGGGGAACGGGGGATGGCGGCGCCCAGGAATGAGGGTTCAGGGGCCCCGCGGTGCTCCGGGATGGGCGATCAAAGAGTCCCGGTGCCGGGGGTCCCCCTCACCCCGCACCGCCCCCGCGGCCCCAGCACTGCAGCCATCGCGCTGCTCCTCCTCACTCCCAGCATGATCCCAGTACAGCCCAGTCCCTCCCACTCCTGGCATCCCCCCCAGCCCTCTCTGCCTTCCGACCCGTCCCGGCTCCATCCCCGCCGCTCCCGCGGGCTGCGAGGACTCCGGGACTGGAGGAGGAGGAGGAGGGAGGGAGGAAGAGGCGGAGCGGCAGCAGGAAGCGGCAGCAGCAGAGGACGGCAGGAATCGCGGCGATCCGGCGCTGCCTGAGCTCGCCGCACCGCGGGAGCATCGCCCCCATCCCGCAGGTGCCCGGGGAGGTTCCCCCCTGTCCCAGCTGATGGGGGTCCCGCTTGCATTGGGAACACCCCTTCTACTCGGTCCCGCCCTCCCCAGGCTGCTGGGAATCCCAGGAATCCGAAAAGTTCCCCCTGGTCTCCTGCGCGATGGGGGGCGATGACCCCACAGGTGGGGGCTGTGAATTCAGGGAGGGCTCGGCCGCGTGCTTCCCTCTGCTTTCCTTCATCCGTCTTTGTCCCTCCTCTTTCTCCCCCTCCTCTTCCAGCCCTCCTCCTCCTCCCTAAGCCCACCTCCTTCTCCTACTTCCATCCCTTCTGGCTCTCCTCCTTCATCCCTGCCATTCCCTCCTCCTCCTCTTCCCCCAGAGCAGCGACCCCCTCGCTGCCCCGTTCCCGGAGCCCTCGCAGCCGCGGCAGGAGCGGGGATGGAGCCGGGACAGCTCGGCACGGGCAGCGCGGGGCTCTCGGCTGCTCCCGGCGCAGAGGCAGCCTGGAGGAGCAGAGCCCTGTGTCCCCCAGGAGCCCAAAGTGGGGAGCCCAGAGAGGGGGGAGCGCTGCCATCCACCCCTCAACAGCCTGGAGAGGGGCAGCGGGGACTCCTTGGAGCCCCTGCAGCCCCGAGCAGAGAATGAGGGGAGAAGGGACCCCAAAAGGGAGCCCAAAACCCCCAGCATCCCTAAGTGGGGAGATGGAAAAGGGGGGAGATTTTTGGGTTCCTGGGACTTCCAGGAGCCTGGGAGAGGAGGAATCCCAGAACCCCAAAACTGAAAGACCAGAGATGGGGAACTCCTGGGAGGCTTTTTTAGAGCAGATTTTTATGGACATACAATGCTGACATCTAGAGATGAAGTTGGGCAGGGGGAACCACCTAACCCAAGTGTTCATCACTTGTTTTCCCTGCAAACCAGGATTTCCCATTCCCAACCCTTGGCTGGATGGAGGAAGAGGCTGTGAGGAAGAGGCAGATGCCCCTGGACACCCAGGCAGGTGAGGAGGAAGTCACTGCCCCTTTTTCCCCTCTCTCCTGCTCCATCTCCCAGCCCAGCATCCACCCCAGCTGCAGGACAGCCCCACTTCCAAAGCTGTCCTGCTGGGGCTGCACTGAGGGGGATCTCTGTCCCCTTCCCTGTTGCATGGAGGCAAATGTCATCCTCTCCTTGTCCTTCCTCCTCCAGACAGGGATCTGAGGATGGAGACCAGGGAGGACAAATCCCCGCAGCAGAACCTCGTGGAAGAGGTTGTTTTGAGTGACTCTACAGAGCAGGAATCCGATGGGGAGGAAAATCCCCAGAGATCCCCCACGAGGAGGGCCTGCAAGCCCAGCCCAGGGTGCTCTGAGGAGGAAAGACCCACCCTGTGCCAGGAAGGTGGACAGAGCTTCAGCCAGAGCTTGGGCCTCGTGGTCTCTGAGCAGCTCAGTGATGGGGAGAAGCCCCACAAGTGCTTGGAGTGTGGGAAGAGCTTCAGCTGGAGGTCCCGCCTGATCCGCCACCAGATGATCCACACTGGGGAGAGGCCCTACGAGTGTCCTGAGTGTGGGAAGGGCTTCAGAGACAGCCCCCAGCTTACCATCCACCATCGCATCCACACTGGGGAACGGCCCTTCGAGTGTTGGGAATGTGGCCAGAACTTCAGCCGGAGCTCCCACCTGACCTCCCACCAGAAGATCCACACCGGGGAGAGGCCCTACGAGTGTTCCGAGTGTGGGAAATCATTTCAGACCAGCTCCCTTCTCCTCATACACCTGCGGATTCACACAGAGGAGAGGCCCTTCCGCTGCCCTGACTGCAGGAAGGGCTTCAAGCACAGCTCCCACCTCATCAGGCACCGGCGCATCCACACCGGGGAAAGGCCCTACGAGTGCCCTGAGTGTGGGAAGAGGTTCAGGACCAGCTCAGTCTTGAATCAACACCAATGGAGACACCGGTAAGGGAAGCTCTGACTGCTGGAAGAGCTTCGTGCACTGCTCCAACTTCCTCCCCCATCAGAGGACCCTCGTTGCAGAGAGCCCTGGTGACCCACATTCCCAATAATCCAAGTTGGGAAGACACCTGGCTGGTGGTCTCTATGTCATCCCGGATCCCTATGGGCACCTGACTGAACGCTGGGGCAGGAACATCCATTGGGTCTCAGACTGATAATGGAAATTCCTTGGGAAGAGCTGATTTTTGACCTTGTCTTGGTTTGAAATTCAGGTGTCTGCTAAGGAAGGCAGGAGCCCTCCTTGGAATGGAAAATGTAAACCCCCTCCCTCTGAATTATTAGAATTGTGAAATCAAGGGGCTCTCAAGCAAAGATATAGGAATAGGAATAACAGTTCTTTACTAATGTGTATAATAAAGCAAACAACAGCAACACCTACGGCATTAACAGAGGCTTTGCTGCACAAACCCACAGGGGGCCGTGATCCTGGTGCCCCAGCAGGGCTCAGGGAGCTCCAAGCTGGGTTGGCAAGATCCATCAGCAGGCAGGGGGTGTGGGGTGTGAAAAACACGTTCAGTCTCTTGTGAAAATTTAAAAAGTGTAATAAAGGACAATGGGAGACAAGGACCATAGAGCAGAGGTTATTAGGGCCAGGAGCATCTTGGGGGATACCCCTTAAATACCTTTTCCCTTACATCAGCCCTTTGCATATTCATAGACCCTTATGCATAGTAAACTTTTCCCCAAAGTAGTTTACATGTTCCAATAATTGTTCAGTATATCTCCTCCTTGGATCTGCCTTTTTAGAGCATGAGCATTCAGTGGTTGTGGTTTTAGTCCTTTTTTATCATCATCTGCAGTTTTTGGACCTTGGCCCACACTGCTGGAGTGTGTGGGTGCTGATAGTTGGCAGATCTGTACAGGCGTCCTCATCCTGTGTTTATTATGTTAGGAAGATTAGTCCACAAACATCAGAGGTTTATGTCCAAAAAGGAGACAGAGGAGTCCTTTTACTTTGTTTGAATAAAGGGAGAGGCCATGGGGGTCTCTCCAATTTTTGGAGGATGCAGCCTCCTTTTTATCCTAATTTCTTTTCTCTCCCCATTGGCTGAGGTACTTGAGAAGTACAGACTTCCTGAAACACCTGATACCAGAGATTTCCCTCTAATGTATAGCCCTCCCTTTTAATTTTTAATTCTTATGGAATTTAGGGTTTTCCCCCACTGTTTCTTTCATCTTTCAATATCCAGTTTCATTTACTAGCAAACCTACAGTTTATTTGTAAAAGCAAAATATCTTTTTTCATTCATCAATCAGTAGAATCCTTCCCATTGTTTCTTTTATCTCTCAGTGCTAGTTTTATCTAGCAGCAGACCCACAGCTTGGTTTTAAAGACAAATCTGTCATTCCTCTCATACTGTCTTGCAACAAAGAACCTGTGACCATCTTAGACCATGGCCTAAGACTATTTATAAGACTATGCTTGCTGTCTTATAAATCTCATGGCCTCTTAGACTGATGTTATCTAAGCAATAAATGGTTCTTAGTCTGCTCGTGGTCCCGTCCCTTTGACTGACGTGATGGCAGCCACACAGAGTCCTTCCCCAGGAGCTCTGAAGCTGCCTGCAGGTCCCCGAGCTCTTGGTCCCCTTGGCCACGGCAGTCGTGTGCCCCAGAGGGCTCTGTGAGGACACGGGCTGTCCTCGTGGCACTGGGGCTGTGTCCTTGCAGCCCTGGGGACGTTGGGCACTGCGACAAGGTTCAGGACCAGCTCAGTCTTGAATCAACACCAATGGAGACACCGGTAAGGGAAGCTCTGACTGCTGGAAGAGCTTCGTGCACTGCTCCAACTTCCTCCCCCATCAGAGGACCCTCGTTGCAGAGAGCCCTGGTGACCCACATTCCCAGTAATCCAAGTTGGGAAGACACCTGGCTAGTGGTCTCTACGTCATCCCGGATCCCTATGGGCACCTGACTGAACGCTGGGGCAGGAACATCCATTGGGTCTCAGACTGATAATGGAAATTCCTTGGGAAGAGCTGATTTTTGACCTTGTCTTGGTTTGAAATTCAGGTGTCTGCTAAGGAAGGCAGGAGCCCTCCTTGGAATGGAAAATGTAAACCCCCTCCCTCTGAATTATTAGAATTGTGAAATCAAGGGGCTCTCAAGCAAAGATATAGGAATAGGAATAACAGTTCTTTACTAATGTGTATAATAAAGCAAACAACAGCAACACCTACGGCATTAACAGAGGCTTTGCTGCACAAACCCACAGGGGCCCGTGATCCTGGTGCCCCAGCAGGGCTCAGGGAGCTCCAAGCTGGGTTGGCAAGATCCATCAGCAGGCAGGGGGTGTGGGGTGTGAAAAACACGTTCAGTCTCTTGTGAAAATTTAAAAAGTGTAATAAAGGACAATGGGAGACAAGGACCATAGAGCAGAGGTTATTAGGGCCAGGAGCATCTTGGGGGATACCCCTTAAATACCTTTTCCCTTACATCAGCCCTTTGCATATTCATAGACCCTTATGCATAGTAAACTTTTCCCCAAAGTAGTTTACATGTTCCAATAATTGTTCAGTATATCTCCTCCTTGGATCTGCCTTTTTAGAGCATGAGCATTCAGTGGTTGTGGTTTTAGTCCTTTTTTATCATCATCTGCAGTTTTTGGACCTTGGCCCACACTGCTGGAGTGTGTGGGTGCTGATAGTTGGCAGACCTGTACAGGTGTCCTCATCCTGTGTTTATTATGTTAGGAAGATTAGTCCACAAACATCAGAGGTTTATGTCCAAAAAGGAGACAGAGGAGTCCTTTTACTTTGTTTGAATAAAGGGAGAGGCCATGGGGCATTCCCCTGGGGTCTCTCCAATTTTTGGAGGATGCAGCCTCCTTTTTATCCTAATTTCCCTTCTCTCCCCATTGGCTGAGGTACTTGAGAAGTACAGACTTCTCAGAGGTTTATGTCCAAAAAGGAGACAGAGGAGTCCTTTTACTTTGTTTGAATAAAGGGAGAGGCCATGGGGGTCTCTCCAATTTTTGGAGGATGCAGCCTCCTTTTTATCCTAATTTCTTTTCTCTCCCCATTGGCTGAGGTACTTGAGAAGTACAGACTTCCTGAAACACCTGATACCAGAGATTTCCCTCTAATGTATAGCCCTCCCTTTTAATTTTTAATTCTTATGGAATTTAGGGTTTTCCCCCACTGTTTCTTTCATCTTTCAATATCCAGTTTCATTTACTAGCAAACCTACAGTTTATTTGTAAAAGCAAAATATCTTTTTTCATTCATCAATCAGTAGAATCCTTCCCATTGTTTCTTTTATCTCTCAGTGCTAGTTTTATCTAGCAGCAGACCCACAGCTTGGTTTTAAAGACAAATCTGTCATTCCTCTCATACTGTCTTGCAACAAAGAACCTGTGACCATCTTAGACCATGGCCTAAGACTATTTATAAGACTATGCTTGCTGTCTTATAAATCTCATGGCCTCTTAGACTGATGTTATCTAAGCAATAAATGGTTCTTAGTCTGCTCGTGGTCCCGTCCCTTTGACTGACGTGATGGCAGCCACACAGAGTCCTTCCCCAGGAGCTCTGAAGCTGCCTGCAGGTCCCCGAGCTCTTGGTCCCCTTGGCCACGGCAGTCGTGTGCCCCAGAGGGCTCTGTGAGGACACGGGCTGTCCTCGTGGCACTGGGGCTGTGTCCTTGCAGCCCTGGGGACGTTGGGCACTGCGACACTGCTGTCCTTCCCTGGCACTGCCTGCACGGCCCAGGCTGCCTGCAGGGAGAGACCTGGGCTCCGGGAAGGACAGATCTCCCGTCCCAGGGACCAGGATCAGGCCTTGGCCCTTCTGCTCCATCTAGCCGAGGGTGTGCTCAGCGCCAGAGCCCCCTGCCCAGTGCCTCTGCCTGCTGCAACCACAGCCCCAACCCTAAGGAGGCCCTGGGGAGGCTCCATCAGAACGGGCAATGCTCCACCACACTTTGTGTTTTTCTTCTCACTTGGATTTCTTGGGGGACTGCTGCTCTCTCCTCTCAGCATCTGAGGATCCTGGACTCAGAACACCAAATACACCCCAGGGCTCATTCGAGCAAAGAAAGGCCTAATGAGTCATTATCCTCCCCTTTGCCAAGTCCTCAACTCTTGTACAGCTAATTGGAGAGGGTTGAGGACTGGAGGTGAAGGCGCCAGTGCCCACTTTGGAGAGGTGGTGACAGCACTGTGCAGCTGACACTGATCCAGGCTATGCTAAGGAGATCATGCCCATGGAAAAACAGTTCCTCAGCACGGGATGGACAACTGTGCCCATCCCCTCAGCCCCAGCCCTTCTCTCAGGGGCCACCTGGGCCCTGCCTCACCGTCTGTGACACGGGACTTGGGCACTGAGTTCTGTAGTGATGTTACAGCTCCTTTGCATCAACTTCCACCTCCTTTCACCCCAGACCCTGGCTGTGAACAGGCATGGAAGGGTTTCTGCTAATTATAAAAAAAAGAAATGATTTTTTTTTTAATTATAAAAATTATATTAAAAGCAATAGCAACAAGAGTAGCTCTCTGCCAAAAAAAAAGTATTATATGTGTTATGTTAGAAAGTTATGCTGTATTAATCCTTTTAAGTAGTGTGTTAATTACTGTTTTAGGCTATAACATAATATTAAAATAGAAACTATGTGATGTAAGATACTTTTCTAACTAGCTCAAGGAATGGATAGGATAATCAAGAAATTATTTCCATAGAGATAACAGCAACAAGACACTAAAATCCGAAAGAGAAGAATTATTGCCTCCTTATCAGGAAGAACCAGGCTTCTTCTACCTCCTTTCAGCCTCCATGGAGCCAAACCATGATTTACAAGATGAGATGGGAAGCTGACAATAACCAGAAAACACCCTTTGTTTGAAAGGAATGTTTGCATCATGTATGAGATATATGAATATGCAACAGGCCATTGCTTTTAAGAGTTAATCCTTTGTTAGTGAGCCATGCTTTTTTGAGGAAAGCATCTAACGTTCATAATTCTTTACTTTTTTATTGTCCTTTATTGTCCTAACTCTGCTTGTCCGAGTTCTTATTGCTTTAATTTGTATTACTATCTTTATAACCATTTTATTACTATTAAACTTCTAAAATTTGAAAACAAGTGATTGGTGTTTTTCACACCAGGGACCCCTCAGAGCACCACGGGTCCCAGCCCCACTGAGCTTGACAGCTTCCCCCCAAGATGCTGTGTTCAGTTCTGACCCAGCACTAAGAAATCCAAAACCAAAAATGAAATCTGATTACAAAATCTTGCAAAATCCCATCCCAGAACGTTCTGTTATAAAATCACAAGTATTAACGGAAGCTGAGAAAGCCAACAACGTTAGAAAACGATGTTACAGGTGAGTAATGCGATGGCTGGCTCTCACAATTAAAGAGCAAATATTAAATATATGTCAAGAGGGGCTAGAGGTGTAAAGGGCAGGACATCCATTTTGTAGAAGAGCACCTGGTGATTGAATCCTTCGCTCCCGGTGCTGTATTATTTTCTTTATTAAGTCTTCTGTTGTGTTTTTGATAAGGTTTCAATAAGCCTTCTAAATTTTTGAAAGTGAGAATCATTTCTCACAACAACCTTCAAGCACTTGGACTAGAAGAGCTCAGGCAATAAATTTAATTGGAATGAACCCTTTCTTTCTAACATGGGAGCAATTCCATCAAATTTCCAAAACCAGTGAAAGAGGGACCCCCAGAAGCAGAGGCTTCACACGAAGCAATGACATAGGGCAGGGCAAGCAGCTGCCAAAATTATAACTTCTCCATTGCAATGAAGGATTTATTTTAATTTTACTGTAGCTGCTATTAATAAAGTGCAAGATTTAAGAGTCTTGAAAAATAAAAATAAATAAATAATGAAAGGCCTCCACTATACCAAAAAGACAAACCTCATTTTTCTTTACTGTCATGATGCTCCTGAAAAAAACATCAAATCATCCTGCAAGTTCAGAGGTACAAAAGAAATCTGACTTGAGTTTCTCCACCAAACCACAGGAGGGTTTGTCCAGCTGGCCATTTAGAATAGGAACAAATTAATCTGTATTTTCTAAGATATTTCTCATGGTCATCCTCCATTTTTGTAAGGCAGATTGCGCCAAAGACCTATTATATATTATATTCTTGCTGGGAAGAAAGATGCTTTGAGTTATTTAAGCTTTGAGATGCATGTAAAAATGACTTTCACTAAAGTCAGATACTCCTAGGCTTGAAGGCAAGGCATAAATAGTTAGTCACTTGCCTGCAATAATTGCGGCAAGAACACATTGAAATGCCCTTTCACGTGAAAAACTAAAAAAATTTTAAATCTACTTCTGGACAACACCAGCCAGAGACCAGATGAGAGCTGTTACCAGTTCTGAGTTTGCTTTTCAAAGCCATTGACCCCCAAGCCTGGGTTTAACTTTGGCAGAGTTGTGTCCAGCACAAGGACGTGTTTGGACCTGGGTCACATCCCTTCAGCACCAGCCCCTGACTGCACAGTGACAGCTGCTGCTCCCGCTGGTCCTTGTGGCCTTTTGAAGCACAAGCCCAGCCCAGCTGCAGGTGAAGCCCAGGAGGAGAAGGAGGGATTGGTTTGGAAGCTCCTGGGTGCCCTCCTGGGGCTGGAGCCACCCTCACCTTGCCAGCAGCTGTGGGGCAGGAGCGGTGCCCGATGTGCCCCACGGGCATTCGGGGTGGGGAAGGGCAGCTGGG